TTTGTGAGACCAACGATTAGACACGGATAAAGTTTAATGATTAAGGCAAGACTTGAGCTCAAGTTTATCGAGGTAAACACAATAAATCATAGGTAGACTAAGGCTACTAAATGTTGAATTTTGCCGGTTTTAGTCTGTCTCACTCCTATTGATACACTCCTGTTATAATGCATACAATTATAAATTATATACGTAACAATGCATATTAAAAGAAAATCAAAAGTTAATTATATTATTACTACCATGCTGTACGTGCGACCAGAATTACCACTGCTGCTGCTGTTTACCTGGTTAAATGTGAAAGTATGATCGGAGTAAGACTTCTTGTTGTTCCAAACCGCCACCAGACCGCGTCGGTATCCGATGACGAGCTAAAAACAAAACAAGTGAATATTAAACATCCTGTCAGTAGACTCCGAGGTCTTAGTATATATGTGTCAGTTACAACATCAAAGTGGATGATTTATCACCCATTATCGTGGTGATGGCATTTGATGCAAACTATTTAATTTCATGTCATTTCATCCATAAAAGCTTCAAACTTTCGATGAATTCCCAAATTCCAATTACACTTTCACATTTCTCGATTTACCGATTTCATTCTACTAGATTTGAATCTAAACGAACGACAGAATTTCAATTAGAATCTGAAACTGACTAAAACTGAAAAACACAGTGTTCAGCGTTTTCTGAATCAAGTGACCACCAAGGGAATGAACGAGGGAGCAACGAAACTTTATCCGAACTGCATTAAATAACACTACAGAAAAAGAAATTAACTTTTGATTGAGAGAGCTTCCAACAAAGATATCCAACAGATATCCTCAGTAAAATATCGGGAAACAAAATGTTTACGTTGGGGAATATTCTGACGTTAAAAGTTTAATAACGATAACCACCAGAATGATAAAACGTTTGAATTAACTGCCGTGCATTACTGCAAAATATGATTTTCGAAACTAAGTTTGCACTTTTGGTTATGTATATTGTATAGTATTATAAATTCGACAGAAAAGCTCTGCAAACGGACCTGGACCCACTGTAATTTCAATCCGTACATGTATATCTGCGAATCAGAAACCTTCGGAACCCGACAGACACCCAACGACCCCTGATACTAACCCTGACACAACTTGTGACACGATCCCTTACACACCCTCTCACGACCCCCAACACTACCCACAAAACACCCCTCTGACACGACCCCTGTTACTAACCTTCACATGACCCATGATACTAACCCTGACACGACCCCTGTTACTAACCTTCACATGACCCCTGATACTAACCCTGATCTCTCTCTCTCTCTCGCTGTCGCAGACACATACCGTACGGGGTCGTGGCAGTCTGCAGCGACTTGACGCCATCCTCGAGCGTCCAGATGATGTAGCTGCCGTCGGCGTACGTGCAGACGAACTTCTCGCCGCCTCGCACCCAGCAGATGCTCTCGAGATCCTGCGCCATGGCAACAAAGCGGTAACAAACATGGCGAACGAGGTGATTTCGAGTGGAGAGAGCCGAGTGCGCGCGAGTAGCGCTAGTGGGTTTTTTATTATTGGGGGTGGGGGGGGGGGTTGTATGAAACAGAGGCAATGAGGGAGGGGAATAGCAGCGGGAGTGGATGACAGGCAGGTTACCTGACAGAAATTTCAATAGATTGAAAGGTAGGTAAGGAGAGAAAGAAGAAAAAATTCGAACAAAAAAGAGAAAAGGAAGATAATACAGGAATGAAATGGGGGGGGGGGTTATTTCTTCTTTACAGTGATAGCTTTCTTTGGAACGCAAGCAAGCGAAGCCAAGCAGAGAGAAAAGATATTTTCATGATCATGGCCTTTTAGGGAGTCATTTTAACGCAGTGTGGGTCTAAGTCAATTCTCATTAGGTGAAGGAAATTTGCAACGAGAGATGAGAAAGAATCCCTCATAAATATTCCCTCTCGGAAATGTTCTCATGTTCGACTCACAATAGCCTCATTCTATCATTCGTCGTGGTATCGGGATTTATCGTATGGTATTGGATCGTAGATTTCAATTATCAGACGCGATGGGAGAGCTTGCAAGGAGGACAAGTATCGATTGTTGAGCGAAATATCTACAAACAGCTCGGAGACTATGATAATGATATAAGGGCAAAAGGATCGCTAAACACTTTGACTGAACTGAGTTTATATATTATACATATTATAATCAGGAGTGTATCAATAGGAGTGAGACAGACTAAAACCGGCAAAATTCAACATTTAGTAGCCTTAGTCTACCTATGATTTATTGTGTTTACCTCGATAAACTTGAGCTCAAGTCTTGCCTTAATCATTAAACTTTATCCGTGTCTAATCGTTGGTCTCATAAAAATGACAAATCCGGAGATATCGGTTCAAACGTACAATGTGGTTTTTGAAAGTTATAGCGCATTTTCAACAACTGTGAACCGAAACATAAGGGCAATGCTTTTGAAAGCCCTCTATCGCTTAGCAATGCAAACATAGCAAACAACTAGCGAGGTTTGCTAGGGATTTCGGAAAGTTAAACACGACTTGGTGTTATTGATACTATTTACATTAGAAATAAAAATTTTCACATGTTTAGTATTTTTATCCATTTTATTTTTTCTTAACAATATTGTTCATAACATGTAATTACTGTCATTCGACATGGCCTATAATAACAACAAGGCGTGTTTAACTTTCTGAAATCCCTGGCAAACCTCGCTAGTTGTTTGCTATGTTTGCATTGCTAAGCGATAGAGGGCTTTCAAAAGCATTGCCCTTATGTTTCACAGTTGTTGAAAATGCGCTATAACTTTCAAAAACCACATTGTACGTTTGAACCGATATCTCCGGATTTGTCATTTTTATGAGACCAACGATTAGACACGGATAAAGTTTAATGATTAAGGCAAGACTTGAGCTCAAGTTTATCGAGGTAAACACAATAAATCATAGGTAGACTAAGGCTACTAAATGTTGAATTTTGCCGGTTTTAGTCTGTCTCACTCCTATTGAT